AGGCTGAGTAACAAATTACCACAAATTCACCAGCTTAAAATAGCACACGTTTATTATCTCAGAGTCTCTGTGGGCCAGGAGTCCAGGAACAGGTTAGCTGGGTCCTCTGCTCGGGGTCTGGAGGCTGAATTAAGGTGTCGGCTGAGGCTGTGCTCTCCTCGGAGGCCCGGGGCCCCTCCAAGCCCACGCAGTTGTCCGTGGAATTCGGTTCCTGGAGGTGGTGCGGCTGAGGTCTCCGTTTCCTTGCTGGCTGCTTGCTGGGGCCGCCCTCGGTGCCTCGAGGCCATCCTCAGGTCCCCGCCCTGGGCCCGCATGATGTTCCTTCATCTCTAAGGCCAGCAGGAAGGCATCTCTGACACCTCACCACCTTTTAAAGGGCGCACTGATCAGGTTGGGCCTACCCAGGATAATCTCCTTGATTAACTCAAAGTCAACTGATTAGGGCCCTAACCATCACATTCACACTCAAGAGGAAGGAATTAATCAAGGGCTGGGGTCACTGCGGGTCATCTGAGAGTCCTCCCGCCTCAGGGAGCAAGGAGGAAGTGGGTGCTGGCTGCTGGTACCCAAGTGACTGGCCAGAACACACCCTCCCCAGCCTGCCCCTCCCACAGGCCCTGTCTCCTCATCCTCCCATCTGAGCTTAGCCCTTGCTTCTTCCAGAAAGTCCTCCCTGAGCCCCCAGGCAGGTCAGAAGACCCCTCAGGCGTCACCACGTGCTTCCTCCATCTCCTGCATGTCCCGTGGGTCACTGCTGCACAGACATCATTCTGGAGAGCCTGCATATCGGCCACAGGGGGAGGGACTCCGTTATGGCCATTTACAGGCCAAGGAGGCTCGGAAAGGGAAGGCGGCTTCCCGAGGTCGTGTGGGGACACCTGGTCAGCCCGACCCCCACATCCGGGGTGGAGGCCAGGTCTAGGAGGGCCCTGAATGCCAGGCTCAGACCTCTGGGCAGCAGCAGAGCCCTGAAGGGAGGACCCAGCCAAGTGTGGGGCTGCTGGCAGGGGGGCCACTGGAGGCAGGTGAGCCACCAGAAGGCTGTGCGGCAGCCCAGACAGGGGAGGTGGGTTCGAGCTTGAACCTCAGGGGCCCTGGGCTGAGCGAGGCGCACGGCTGGTGCTCGCTCGATAAGACGCGCTGACCCACTGCTCTAATCTATCATCGCAAATCAAAGACGGTCCCCGGAGCAGTTCCCGCTCCACAGGGACTTCCGCCAGCTCAGTAAGGACTCAGCTGAGCCAAATCCATCAATGTAATCAATATCGCAACAGATTCGGTCTGCGGGTTAGTGCACCAGAGCACGGCCCCAGGCCAGTGGATCTGGCCGCCTTCTGACAAGACAAAGCGGGTCTGGGATTCTGCAGGGAGGGGCAGGGAGAGAAGCAAGCTGCGTTTTTCCCTGCCTCATCTTTAAAAATGAAATTTCAAATAAACATGGGGAAAAAACCCACAGCTCAGCTCGAAGGAGAAAACAAGTCCTCCTGGTCTGCAGACTGGACAGCCAGGCCACTTCCCTCTGTGCCCGCACCAGTTGGCGAGGTGGACGGCGCCCACCCCTCCCCTCCCCTGCAGGCACCAGCCAGGGGCGAATACGGCAGACCAGACACAACACCCACCTCCAGGAGCTCGGAGCCACGTGAAGGCAGAGCTAGCGTGGACCTTAGAACCATCCAGTCCAATACCCCATCTTACAGATGGGGAAACTGAGGCCCAGGGAGGCAGGAGGCTCTAGAGCAGCCAGTCGGCAAGTAAGGGAATGAGAGGGGGGCTGAGTCCACATGCAACAGCTCCGACCCCACAGACCGAGGCAGAGAGGGCCTGCTGGGCGGGGGACACGGCGGTCCAGCATAGGCAACTGCCATGTGAGGCATCTCTGTGCTCTGCCAGGCACCACCTGCACCCAGCACACCACGGGCATCCAGTGACGCTGAGGAGGATGGAAGACCCCGAGCCCTTTGCAGCGTTCCTGACCTCACCCTTTGTCCCCCCCATTCCTCTACCACGCTTCGATGAGCCCCTACCATGTGCCGTGAGCCAGGCTCCGCCCCGGACAATGGGACAGGGATGTGGCCTGCTCTCAAGAGCCCACAGCCAAGAGAGACATGGTCACTGATGATGGCCCGCCCCTGAGGGGCACACAGGAGGCCAGCAAAGGGGCCTCAGCCTGGGAGATCAGGGGGGCCCCTGAGGGAGGAATCTCATGCAACACATTCTGAAGGAAAAGGAGAGCCCAGAGATAGACGAGGCCCAGGGCTGCCGGCCTGGAGAACAGCATGTGTCAGGGCCCGGAGTCCACTGCTGGCAGTGACAAACGGGCTCCCAGCCTGGAGCGAGCCAGCTGAAGAACCATCTGAACAAGCTGGGTGGAGGTGAGCAGGCCGAGGAGGTGAGGCAGAACCCAGCCTGAAACCTGGTGCGAGCTGCCCGCAACGGGGTGACAAAAATACATCCTCCCTGCAGCCCAGGGGGTGAGCGAGGCCCCAGGCACCTGCGCCAGTGTGGATGCATGTGTGCATGCACATGTGTGGGTGAGCACGTGTTCGTGTACATGTGATACATGTGAATGCACGTGTGTGGGTGCATGAGTGACTTGCAGCAATGTGTGTGCACATGTACACACATGTGTATGGATACATGTACATGCACAAGTGAGGTGTGCATGCACGGATTTGTGCACGTGTGCATACTGCACGTGTACATGATTGCATGTGTGTGGACATGTGTGCACACAGTATATGTGTGGGCATGAATACATGATGTGCACATGCAGGTGCACAGTGTGTGGATGCATGTGCATGCACATGTGGGTGTGTGTGCATGCATGCCTGCTGTGGAGGCACACACATATATGTGTGCATTATATAGGCACATGAATACTTGTGTGAATGTACTGTATCACGTACACGGTGTGTGTATGTACATGTGCACACAAGCAGTATGCATGTGGAGGTGTATGTGCACATGTATGTGAGTATGCAAGCACGGGTGTGCATGGATATGTGTGCACACGGGTGTGTATGCATGTGCACACAGGTATGTGTGAGTGGGTGTGCATGCATACCTGTATGTGCAGGGACACAGTTCCAGGAGACAAGCTCCCCTCCACCTAAGGCCACTCGTGGAGCACAGAGCACTGCATGCCACGGGGTGTACACCCAGCAGGCAGCCGCCCAAATTCCTTCTCACGGCAGCTAGGTGCAGGGCCCAATGTCCCATGGTTGTGTGGCCCTGGCTGGACCAATCCTTCCCTTGTGGGCCACTCGTCACAGATGGGATGAAGGGCAAGGATGCCTTGGCAGCCCCAGGATGCTCTGCTTCTATGTGGTTTTCCTTCTGAGATGTCCCACACCCTGTCCCCAACACCCCCACCTCCCCATCCCCACCAGGGCAGCCTGACTACACAGCACCCTCCTTGTCACCCCTCCTGGTCCTGCCAAGCCCGGGCCTGGCCGTCAACAGCTCATCGGGACAGGCAGCCTTTCGGAGTGCATGCTGTCTTGCTTGTTACAGGATACTCGGGAGCAGTTATCAAGCCTGATGTTCACTGTCTGGGCAAAGAGCCCTCTCCGCCTCCTTTTCAAACAGCTGCAGTCCCCGGCGCCCCATGCACGCAGGCAGGCCTGCATTTGCTGCAGCCCCGAAGCCCAGCAGACGGCTTCTCTACTCCAAGGATTCCTCGAGGGACCCAGCTCTCCTCTGCCCCTTGGCTCCGGGCCCTGGACCCGGAGGAGAGGCGCTTCCTCCTGCCTCCTTCCCGGTTACACCAGGGAGGTGGTCACTGCTGGGTGATGTCTGCAGCCTGAGGTCAAAAGGGGGACCAGGCGTCCCCAGGGACCTGAGTCACTCGGCCAGCCAGGCCCAAACACATCTCAGAAGTCATCTCCTCCAGAAAGCCTACCTTGACAACCCCCGGGTGGGGGAGGAGCCCCAGGGCACTGGTGGCATTCACTGCACCCATCTCAGTGTGTGGCCGTGTCAGCGCAGACAGCTAACACCCCAGGAGGAAGACTGACACAGAGAAGGGCCCATGCCAGCCGACGATGGAGGAGGCAAGTGTGGGGGGTCTTCCCTGCAGAATGCACCCCGGGTGCCCTGGATCAGTGACACCTTCCAGGCCTCGAGGACCAGGAGGACCTCGAACGAGGATGGTGGCTCTCTACCTTCCCTGGGTCACACCCCTCTCACATGCAGTCATAGCTTTGCTCCCCACAAGTCTATAAATGCCCAGGATGGGCATAGGCGGTTCAGCCCTTCCTAGACAGGCTCACCATCTGGAATGTTTGACTTCTGGCCTGGCCCTGGCTTGACCCTCTCCTCCTCCTCCCCCCCTCCCCCACCCCCTCCCTCTCCTCGGTGGAACTGGTTAACAAGGGTGCCAGAGCTCCATGTGGGCACCTCTGCTGAGACAGCAGTGCTCTCCTCTAAGGACCACTGAACCTTTCTGAAGCTTGGAGAAGAGAGAAGCAGCCCCCAAGCCACGCACATTCCTAGGCATCACTTGGATGGGGGGTGCTCGATCCCTCCCTGGGACACTCTCCTAGTACCCAGGGGCAGCACACTCCCTCCCCCTTCCCATCTGAGGATGCAGTGGGGGAGCCGCCTGGCCAGCCTGGGTGTGTTTCCGAACTGCTGGGAGGAAAGGTCCTCTCGCTCGTCCTAGAGAGAAATGCCAGGCCTGGGAACTCCAACCTCCTCCCCTGGTTCTGTCATCCACAGACCTCAGGCTGCCTGGAGGCAGGGACCAGCACCCGACACAGGCCGCGGAGCGACAGTGCACGTCTGCGGAATGAACGCACAGGCGCGTGGGACAGGGGTAAGCGGGCTTACCCCAGCAGCTCACCCCTGAGCCTGCAGGAATGAGGCACCCACGCAAAACCGCGCGTCATCCGGGCAATTCAGTTTTGGGTGTTTGTCAGAGGCAATGGTTTTGAACATCACCCCCCCCCCTTTAAAAGCAGGGCCACGGAGCATAAAAATTAAACTTCAATAATGCCAACATGGGTGCAGAGCTTGGGAGCCTGCCCAGGGCTTCCACAGGCACCGCCGTCATGATTCATGCTCCGGCAGCGCTTGGAAGCGGGCAGAGGAGGGAACCGAGGACGCCGGTGGGGAGGCGGCTCTGCCTTGGAGCACCCAACAGAGATCGGAGCCGGACCGGCACTCGGGAGCACCGCTGCGCACCCAGCAGCGTCGCGTCCTCCGACAGGCTGCGAGAGGCTGGCTCTCCAATCAGGCCGCGGACCCCAAGCCGACCAGTGCTGCGCGCGAGTGTGCGCGCCCGCGTGTGCGTGTGCCCGGGGGAGGCGAGGAGGCTTCCGTCTTAGAAAGAGCAGGCTTCTGGAACTCACCGCCCAGGCCAGCCGGCACTCAGCCCGGTCCCGCAGGCTGCAGGCGGCCCTGGAGGGGGCGCCCTCACCAAGCGCGCGCGCCCTACGCC